ATCATGAGGAGTCCTTAACTAGGATGTAGTTGGGCAATTAAATATTCATGTATGTGTAAATTTATTACCATAATTGTCACGTAAATTAATGTTTAAAACAAGTCGTCCCCCCCCCACCCAAGACCAGTTTCCTAGGGGAAACACTGCACTTTACAGATTTTATTGAAACTCCTAAAAATAATCACCCAACATCTACAACGGATTCATTTGTTGAGATCAACCCAATTCAAAATGGCCGCTACAACAAATCAACCATAGCAAACACAAAAATGTCCACATTTCTTTAGGCTTAACAGATGTTGAGCTAAGATCTGCTGTTGTATTAACAGACATTCATCCTCAACACACACTCTAACAGATCACTGCAGTCTGTCACTTTGATCTTTGTTTCAAACCTTTTTTGCAAAGCAGCAAGTGATACGAATACTTTTAAAGAGGGTTAGTTTTGTTTTATACATTCTGACTCAAAAAGAAATGGCTCTTTGGCTAGAAGTTGCTAAAATGCTAAGAAATAAACTTTCAGATTCTGACAGCTGACAGCATAGAGTGTCCTTATCTGATGCATATCCTTCAAGGAATGCTACTTTATTTATTTTTCATACAGTCCAGTTCTTTCAGCAACCCGGACTATTTTTTAATCTTTAAAAGTGGTCTCCAATAGTTTCAGAGGCTTTTTGAAGGTCTGTCTAAATATCTGTTTGGAATTGGACAAAAACAAAGGAGTAAAAAAAGGAGCCAAAGTGGAAAAAAAAACTTTCAAAGACATTCAGAACCTGACAGAGCTACTGATTATGAACACCTTCAAAAACTTGTAAGAAAGTCTATTTGGCTGCAAAATATGAAGAACTGTGGGACGACCTAAGACTTGTTCCCAACACTGTCATATTTAAATAGATTAAAGAAAACTGCCTGTGAAACTTGATGGTGACAAAGTTTGCTGACAGACAAATTAATAAAAAGGCACAGATTTTTTTCTTCTGAAACAAAAGTAAAATGAATGAAAATGTGAATCCCTGACCGTTTCGTCCCAAGGGTCACTTGTTTGCGATGGAGGTGAGCAGCGGGGAGGAATACTACATCGCTTCTGACAACACAGGCACACCACTCGCAGTCTTCAGCAGCAACGGACAGATGATCAAACAGGTAAACCACTGAGGAATCTGCTACAGAATCATTTGCTTATTTTTTTTGAATGCGTATTAACAAGATGAAAAGATTTATTGAAGATCCGTGGCTTCCCTCAAAAGTACAGTAAATAAGCTTGTTTTATTTTACCAATAAAAGAAAAKAATAATCAAAAGCCAACTGTGTCTCCCAGGTTCAGTACACGGCCTACGGTGAAGTGTACCTCGACTCCAACCCAGAGTTCCAGCTGGTTGTAGGTTTCCATGGTGGTCTTTACGACCCCTTGACCAAGCTGGTCCACTTCACCCAACGGGACTACGACGTCCTGGCTGGACGGTGGACCTCGCCCGACTACAGCATGTGGCCCAAGATTGGAAAGGACTTGTCTCCGTTCAATCTGTACATGTTCAAGAACAACAACCCACTCAGCGACATGTTAGACGTCAAAAACTACGTCACAGGTGGAGTATTGTTGTCTGCTGCGTTGTGTGTCATTCTGCTGTTTGAATATGTTTGTGTCTAAAAATATTTATGACCCATCATATCAAAATAAGGATTAAGTCAAATTTGGTCAAAATGACCAAACTACATTTTCAGATTCCTGGCTTTAAAAGCTACATTTTGATACATGTATCATTCTGATATCATAAGCTTATCTGGATATATGCCTTAATTGGTCTTGTTGGTTATGATAATACATAAATATTTGGTCTGAATCCTAATTTTATGTAAATGTATTGAATCATTTTTATGTCATTATAAAGAGGAAACCTCAAATAGTATTCAGTGTGCATTGCCAATGCAATGCACACTATTGTGATTCGTTTCCCATCCACGTCATCTCAACTTTGCCATGCTTCTCCTCCTGCATACTTTATCCTAGAGCTGCCATTGTAATTTATATCTGTAAAGCCCCTGTGCCAAATGATGGCTATGCCTTTTGGTGCCTGTAAAACTTATAGTTTTTGAAATATTAATGTTTAATAAGTTATAATGGCAGTCAATGGAGCTTTGTATTGGTCCAATACTGCCCCCTGCTGCATCTACACAATATGGTACTGCACCATAGTTTCATAATATTTAAACTCAGTAGTTCAGTGATTACAATATTAATATGATTGTATTTTGATATTTTACTGTAATACTGTCTTTATGTTGTCATATTGCTGTAATATTTTGCACTTAAGTGTCAATAACTGCATTGGCAAGGTAAACTTTTTCTGAATACATACAATCCAATCCCTGGGATTGTCCTCTGCCACATCTCCTATAGTCTCATGATGAGCACTGTGGGCTTTCATGTGGGAGATCAGGGTTCAAACCCAGCTAATGCAACTTTAACGAAAAAATATCTTCCAACTTCATACTGTCACACAATTACCTTAATTCTAAACACCTGCTGACGTGACAGGCACAAGCTGGTATAGAAAACGCATTTGAACTTGATCAAAGTTCATTCTGCAAGTCCAATGCTGCAGGCAAAGCCATGCTGAAATGACATGCTACGTGGCAATGCACACTTGTTTTTACATCGTAAAACCCTTGTCTAGTTGTATAATGAGCTTTCCCATATGGAAAGAAACAAAAACATTGCTAGCTCACAGGGAAAAATTCCAAATGTTAAGGTGTTTTTCCTCAAAATTAACTTTTTGTTGCTACTGTAAAAAAATGCTTCAAAACTTTTTTTTTAGAATTATATTTCAGACAGTTCATTCAAATGATACATTGATAATGCATTAATTTATTATAATTTTACAAAATGCAATTTTTGCACACATTTAAATCAAAACCCTATATTTGCCCATGTCTCCACATTCCACTTATGGACTTAATCCTCATTTCAATGTGATGGGTCAAAAACCCTTCTGAGCTGACACGTGCCTAAAACTTTAATCAGCACATACAGGATGTACTTATCCCCGGCGTGATGCACTCACTACTTTATGTGTGAAAACAAACCCTCCACTTTGACTGGTGGTAAATAAAACTCCTTGAAGTTACTAAACAGCGCTAAATAAAACTACAGCGTTGCTTCGATGTAATGTTCTTGCTAATCAATCATATTTAAATACTTTGTTAAACATCAATTAAATTTCATCATATTAGATGAACGACTCCACCCGGTGGTCTAATAAGTCACATGCAGACATCGTGAATCCCCGGGATGGTTTTATTTGTCATACTCGTCTCGTTCTTCGTTAAGCTGCTCGATTGTCATGAGTGAAAGTGGCAGCAAACAACTGAAATCGTTTTATGCAGCATGCTAACCAGCATCCTTTATGGTGGATTAACCAGGAGCTGCAAAAGTGCTTTGATTTGTTACCCTGGTCAAAAATATTAGTGTGATTTCAAATGACTTCAGAACAAGTCAACTGGTAGCGTTTTGATAACTAACTTTGTTTTTTATTTTAATGATGAAGTGAGGACTTGCGTAACACCCCACATAGCAGACAGGTTTGGACCAGATCTTGTGTCAAGCTGGCACTGCTGGCTTGTGGACTGGACATGGGCCAGGTCTGACAATGATGGCACTGGTCCAGTTGTGGTTTGGTTTATGTGGTGCTGCTGGCCCACGCATGGCCCGTCAAACCACATCTGGGCCACCAGAGTTCCGTCATTCTTTGTGATATTAAGAGAGAATTKTATTTGTCATTGCACCGTTGAGCACAATGAAAATACAGTTCAGGACAACCCATTCAGAGAAAGACAATACAAACAAACGTGGAAGAACAGGTGTCTGGGTCGTGCAGCCATAAGAGGCATTACCCTTATCCTTAAAAGAAAAACTAAATACCACACAAGGATAGATGAGGGAAAAATACATCATGTTATATCAACGAAATGTGACACACTATGGTGTTTACAGAAAAAATCTCTGCAGAGCAAGAGCACATTTATCAGCCAGAGAAGTAAGTGAGTTTAGGGGGTGTGTGTCTGAAGCCATAAGTGTTGTATGCACTTGTGTGAACAGCTGTAGAATGAGACCGAAGTATCTACTCCCCAAAAAAACCCGCCCAGCCATAGCTCAGAGTAATGATGTTGATTGTTCATTCTGTGCAGTTTCAGCTTGTCTTCAGGAACCAGATTACAGACGGGAG